AAGACCCCACAATCATCTATGATTTCTATGATAAACGATCCTAAAGTCTATACAAAAGATAGGTTAGGTTCTATATAGTTTGCTTCTATTACAATAATTGGTTGGTATAGCAGACTAGTAGCAATCACAACAAATCAATCTTGTTGTCACATATTTACCGATCACTTGTTAAAGGTACTGGTGGCTTGTTAAATTAACAAAATCCTTTCTCTCAGTGTAGAATCGACCACATGAACGATCGTAATTTCCAATTGATTTTGTACATAGTCTATCTAATGAAAACAAGAAAACAAAATGGGCAAATCCAGAACAGCGTGTCCGCGGAGAGTCATGAATTTTCAGCATGATGAACGACACGCGCGAACGAGGTTCTCCAGCGAGTCGGAATTAAGAGCGGCGAGGACGACGCGTCTCGCAGACGAGACCTCGGTGTCTCGCCTGCGTGATAATTGGACCAAGTCCCAAGACCACTGTTTCTCTGATAACAGGTTCTCTGGTTTCGGTGCACCGTTTCCAGCGGCTGCGGCCGTATCGCGCGCATGCGTCCCCTATTCTCTTGCGCCTGGCCGCCCCGACGTCTCATCTCCTCTTTGAAGAGGTCGTAAAGATAATACCCACATGCTAGCTCGGCAGCACATCAGCATGGAAAATTTATCTAGATTCCATTTCAATGGAGATCGTTCGATGCGATTAATTAACTCGACGGACGAACCAGGATTGCAGGCGGCCATCATGAGGGCCGCTGACATCAGCAGCATCCACTCGCGGACGGCAGGCCCTATTGTCATTGTTTACGAGCAACATATCGTGCTCATCTCTCGAGAAATGGACGCGGCTCCGTTTACACGGGGTAATTAGAGCAGACTTTTCATCCTTCGGACAATGCGCGCGCGTATTCGGAACGGGATTAATTTACTTGGGTAAACCGAAACGCGATTGAAAGCGAATCGCGCAATTAGCTGAGTAACATTGTTACAAATATGTTACAAATGTTTCAAACATTCTTTAGCTATCTTTCAGATATCCTTTTAAATTATATTCGTACATTAATTTATAATTAAATTTGTATTATTTAATTCAGTGGTTCCCCATGGCTGATAATTAATCATTATTATAAATTATTTATATATTTTCTCTATAATAATATATAAACGTAATAATATGCTCTGCATGACGTCATTGTGAGGGATTTAAGATTCCATTTGCTAAAAGAAAATCGTTGTGCTGACAGTGGTGTCTCTTCAGGGATTATTTCGGTGTACCTAAGACCCGATCGTACCTCACGCTCTTTTAGTTAACTGTGAGTCGGGTCAATTTAAGCTGTGGTTTCCCTCGTTCCAAATATCCCTGTCTTTACGATCCATAAAGGGACGAAACTCGCTTTTAGTGGCTATTACACGAATCTCTGGCTCGGCGTAACATTTACGGCTTACGCACTGCGTGTGCGGCAGTCGTTAAAACATATCGCGTGGTCTGCGTGCTCTCGGTACGTGAGTCCTCCTTATAATTAACGCGTTGTCATTTTACTTCGCGATCCTTCTTCAGTTCTTTTAAACGTCTAATATATCTATATTCAGCATTTAGAATAAATTTTTCAATCGTTAGAATAAATTTTTAATTGTCTTGACATGAAAATACTTTCAACGGAAAAATCGATCAAAAGGGACGTCTTTCGAAACTCACGGCAACTTGGATTAGTCTCATTTTACGACAGTTCCTAGAGTTCTAAAAAAGATTTTGACCCGACCCTCGGTCGCGCGTTGTGCACGATCCTTTACGTTGATTTGATTCTTTCGAACAAATGCGCAGCGAATACGATGTATGTAAAGTATACGAGGGCATAGGAAATATATCGTCGTGTCGGGGTTCTTTGAGAGAAATCACGCGTAGGCGCATGCGAGGCACCGTTCAAGCCCCGTATCGCAGAGAGAATCCGCGACTTATTAGGCGCCGACGCCGGCTCAATTTGCGGCCTCTATTAGTACGAGAATCTAGTTCGTTTGCTAGACCGATTATCTAGCCCGTACCTACCATCAATCTATCCATCACGCCCCGACGTAGTCGATGTCTTTGTCTTTACATGAGAGAAGGGTGAATGTTGAAAGTAACGAATCGGAACAATTCGATATCTTACATACTCTCTAAATCTCATGGAATGAAATCTCACTCGAAGAGATTAAAAATTGATCCAGTCTTGAAAAAAGAGTGAAAATACTACCACTCTTGTTCAAGAGTGGCAGATTTTCACTCCTTTTAGAATGAGATTTACTCTTTTGAAATGAGATTCACTCCAAACGAGTGAAATCTCAATTCTTTTTTTGGAGTGTAATACTAGGGTAGATGGAACCTCACTCCAAAAAAGGGATTGAGATTTCACTTTTTCGGAGTGAATTTCATTCCAAAAGAGTAAATCTCACTTTAAAAAGAGCGAAAATCTGCCACTCTTAAATAAGAATAGCCGTATTTTCACTCTTTTTTCAAGACTAGGTCAATTTTCAGTCTCTTCAAGTGAGATTTCACTCTACGAGATTTAGAGAGTATGTTATTCTGTGAAGAACATCGAGCATTTTTTCAAACTTTTTCTCTTGTTATCGGTCTTCATTTTTATTTTAGTAGTGCATATTCACTAGCGTTAAATTAAAAGATTTTAATTTTAAAAATACAAATTTCATTTAAACGTAAACTAATCGAAATTAGTACAAATTAACGGGAGGTTTTAAATTAAACCTTAACATCCCGACATCGAAGACCAACATGAACAATCCGTTCTGTATTGTACAGCGTACAATATTTACATATTTGTATATATTTATTCATACAATAATTTAATTAAAAGATTACGTAAATTGTCTTCAAAATGTCGACTACACAAATTTCTTAGCATTTCTGAGACTTTAGTAAAGAGGCGAAAGAGAAGAGAGAATTTCTCCAATCCGTGGCTGTATACATATATATTTCTTTAATCGATTATGATAAATGATTCGTATAACTCTTAATACAAGTATAATTGGAAACAAATAGAAAATATTATCTAAAATTCGGTCATGCTCTGCTCTTAGTTTTTCCCTCTCTTTCTATTTGACTATCTTTTGCCAGAATTTATTGCGTCAACGAGTGGATTATCAAGCAGCCGATCAGAATTTACTCATCTGAGCGATCTCACGCACGACCAAGCACTTTTTACGCTTCCCTCGTCAGTGTCTATGAATATTAATAAGGTTAGCGGATCGACGAAATCCTCAACGCGAAGATATTTCTTTTACGGGACGCAGTATTGCATCGAATTCAATTAATTCCGATCGATTCATACAAGTAGACGGTTCGTTCATTGCCGTTTTGGCCTTGTTGCAAAATTTATAATTACAAAAAACTAATGAAATTTTCTCACATATGATTAAACCTTTCTATTTTTAGCATAAATCGATCACTTTAGTTTTAGCTTTCTCAGTCCCCATTTTATTTGTCGAATGAGAATAAAAACGTTGCTGACACAATTAAAATGACATTTTATTCAGAATATTAAAGTAGAAACGGGATTGAGAAGGGGGCTAAAAATAGAAACAAAGATACAAATGAATCAATAGAATTTGTAGAATTACAAAAAGCGACATCTTCGCTGTAGTCGAACCTCTGTATTCTTACTGTCTTTTTCTAATTATTGAATTTTGATTTTTGAATGGTTATATTTTTTTCAAGAAAATCACGAGTCACTTCTATCGATACATTGACCGCACAATCAAAGTGGTTCACGTGGCGTGAATTTCATCTCGCTTCTTCGAACATCGTCTCCCTATGAGAGCGACCGAGGTGTACGGAGAACTCTTCTCTTGCGCGGAAATAATTACTCGTGGCAATTAACCGCGTATGTAATTAACTGATAAATTGATGCGTTAACTGCTCGCCATTACGCACATTCAAGATTGATCGTATGCGAGATCGGCCGATATTTAAATCAAAAGCAATTTACGGAACGTTCGTACGCGGGACGCGTACGATATATACCCGTCTACTTTCATACGCGAACCGTGTAAACTTGAGATATTTTACCGAGGAGTCGGCTCGCTTACAGAAACATCTCGAAGATATATAACTCGCGCGATATAAATCTATCGTTCTTTGTTGCAACGGGGACTAATAAAGTAAAGGAACGATCATTACAATGTACATATTTGCGTGGCGAGTGTCATTTGATTATATATTTATGAGTTAAAAGTAGACTCTCATTTATATGCCGCAACTTATTCCGTAATCTTATTCTTCATCGAAATCACGCTATAAATCAGCGATCGGTCATGCTCGATTAGATCGCATATTACGTCCGGAAACCTATTATTACATTTCGTAAATCCTTCAGACGCGCATGCCGTCGCGTATCACGGCTAAGTAGAACGCAACAGTACGTGCCCTTCGAGAGATAATTATCTACTATTATTTATTTACCGATATTATAAGCACTAGCCGATCCCGTTGAGCCGCGACGCTGGAAATCGCGCGGTTACTGTCCAGAGAATTCCATTAGAAAGGAAAACGTAACTGTCTCTCTGTGTATTTCGAAACTTCCGGTATAATTAACGCACAAGTTGGTACGCGCAGGCGGATTTCTCACCCACCACACGATTCCTCTTGCTCGCCCGCTTACCCGCGCCTCGTGGATGACATTAATAAACACCTATTACGCGCAGGACGACGTCGTCGTTCCTCATCGTAAAACTGTTCGCGAGATGAGAAACGGCCGTGGACGTGAGAAATTATCGTCTTAAAACGGGAATCGCGGGGACAAGAGGGAATTAAGATGCGTGCAATTAATTAATAGAGAAATTATTTATTAAAACACTGCGTCTCCCCTGACAGCATAATTGGAGGTTCTATAAATTCTTAAACATGAATCAGTCTTGAGCAATTTCATGAAAAGGCAAGAAAAATGTGGGTGTAGATATTTATTTATTGCGAATTTATTTATTGCAGAACACCGCCTGAAAATTATTATTATTCTGGTGCGGATTATTGAAATCTTAATGAGAGCTCATTATTAAAAGAAAACAAAATCCATTTCGCATTACAATTGAATGATCAGCAATAGCAGTTGTATACTTACATTAGCAATTACTAATAGACCGTGAACTCTCGTAGCAGCTTTTATTGTATCATAAATCACTCGGCCAAGAATGTAGATAAAATATTTCTCTCTATGCTACATCGTATTTCGTTTAATGACACAAATCGTTGTAATGATGGTGTCGTTTTTTCGCGAGTGATACAGCAGAATACATTTCAGTTGAACTAATTGGAACAATAATTATTTATGCATACCAAGATAAACCAATCATTGTATTTTATCGAAGATATTATCGATACAAACAAGCAATAGTTGGATAATTATCGAATTGATTGATTGCCGAGAGCGATCTCGAGTCCTAGAAAATAGATAAATCTTCTTAATTGCGACGCAAAGGAACGATACGAATCAATTTCCCATCCGCGTCCTCGTGCAGAGTCAATCCCATCTCTTGCAACGCGGAATTATCTGACACGCCCGTTTTTTTACAATTTTTAATAATTTCTTGATTCTCAGGGTTTCCCTCGCATAGATTTCTCAAAGCGAGAATGGTCCATTGTAAGATAACTGCGTAAAAATTGTCAATAGAAAAGCGAGCAAAAGTAAAAAAAAAGTGAAATTCAATTACACTTACGCGGATTCCTCGCGTCTATGTTACAACAATCCAGAAGCAATGGAATTCCATCTATTTCGCGAAACTGGAATCATATATTATCATTATGTGTCTTTTTATTTAAAACATCTCGAAGATTTACACACTAACACTATTAGATATCAGAGGAATAATGGTAACCCAATCTCTTGAGTTACATAATATTTTGTTGTGTGTGTCAATATAAATCAAATTCTTCAATTCTGTGATTGAATTATACTTAGTTTCAAGGTAAACGTCCGTATTAACATATGCAATAAATAATAAACTATAAATTGCTTGAGTTAAATTAACGATATATTCAGTAACAGTAGTGGACTTATACAGAAATAATTAAAAATAATTCAAAATGTAATTTGACAACTATAATGAATTTAACAATAAAGAACACATTTGTCTACACGAATGATCGAATGCTATAAAGTCAATATTTCCGTACCGACAACAGATTTATTGTAACTGATGATCAGCAAAAAAGTCATCTGCATCTTACTATCGTGACTACGATGTTCACGTCAACCTTGATACTAGGAGATTGAATTAATATTCCGCCCGCAGGCTCGTGTTTCCGCTCTGATTCATCATAACTAATTTATCTGTCAATACGCATGCGACGTGAACTTTGTCATCTCGCAGATCCGTTAAATTCGCAACGCGTATATCAGATTTCGATCATCTTGCTACATCTCTCAGTCAGATGAAACGCTTAATTTCGCTTTGTCCAACACGACAGGCCGCGTGCTATTGCGTATCTTTTGTTCGCGTATTCCGTATCATCCGCACGCGAGATGTAATCAGCGGGAGAGAAATATCGATTTACCGTACATGCATAGCGCACAACCGTGGCGCGCAACAAAAAGCCAAATTTATATTTTGCAACTGTCAAGGTTCTCTACGTCTTTGAAAATAACCTACCATCATTCACGAGATATAATTTTAATCCCTTGAGTACGGAACAACGTGACGCAAGCGTTCTGTGTGGCCGGAACTCAGCGCTGTGGCTATTCTTTTTTTTCTTCGTATGAAGCTTAAGATACACCGAGTGGTTTCGTAACATATAGTTGAATATATATAGGACTTTTGCGCTAAAATACTTGCGTTTTTCTTAAGCTTGAAATACACTATTTATTTATAGAAATTAATTAATTGTAGATAAATTAGATAGTTAATTTTGTAAATAATTAAAAAAATTAAAGGTATTAATAAGTCAAAAAAATTCTTGTATAAATAATACAATCTGCGCAATTCTTTTATGATAAAAGGAAAGAATTTAAACCGAATCGTGATTTAAAAAAGGAACGAAATAAAAAATTAAACATTTTTAAATTTAATTTAAAAGATGTATCATGAAAAGTAATAATATATAATATTAATAATAATTGAACATGTATGCATATCTTTGTCTTCTTTTTCTGCTTCTTGTTTTATTATTTATATCGATTGTCACATACTCAAGACTTGACGTTCTAATTCTCCTCACGATCACTGCGAGGCGTGCTTTAACGGTATACCCGCAAAATAAAACGCTTGAGATAAGTAAGAAACGTTTCTTATCGACATCAGATAAATTTTGTATAAATTTTATATTCCCCTTCCTTTTTTAAGAACAAAATGTACTAACATAAAATTTATGTAATTATTGCACTTACCAGATCTTGACACATTTTGTTCTTGTGTACCACATTCGCAATGACTTTTATTAGTCCCGCTTTGAAGCCATATGCAGGATGTTCCTGTGGATCACAATTTGCTGTTGTTGCTCCAGATACCTCGATATCCTTTGTATTTGAGCATACATTTACATTCCTCCTTTGAGCATTAGGTGCCACTTGACTTAAATTCGTTATTGGAGTAAAATAATTGTCTGCTTCTTTTCCCATCATATGTAACGACATCAAAAGATCTATAAATATAACTATATTATTTTTACATTCGATCAGATTTTACTGGAAATTGGTATACTTACATTTACAATTAATAAGCAAACTCCTGACATTTTTTGAGATCTTATATTGTGTAGTAAGAAGTCCCATAATATTAAGAATAAGAATAATTTCTGTAGGATCTATGCTATTCACATATGTGTTCACGGTCTTTAAAATGAGATCACTTTTTTTGCAAAATGTTAATGCTAAAAATTCGGCCTGATTCTCTGTGAGCACTGTATTAAAATCAGATTGCCAAGCATTCCAGACTTCATCATAGATAATTTTAAGTAAATCTAACTTTTCGTCCATAGTTACATTATTATATACTTCTTCTACTACATTTGGTCGATGTAACAGGAATAACAATGCATCTTTTGCAGATGTAAAACCTTCTTTGGCAGGTTTTAATAATTGTAAAAACAGATCTTTCTTCTCCATTGTGAAATAGTTATGACATAATTTTTTTAATGCATTGTGCACATAAATGCAAGCTGCATTGGCCAGTAATCTATTATCAGACTGCATGCAACTCCTAAAAATAATTTTTTAATTTTTAACAAATTATAAAAGAAGATCAAAATAAGTTTTATGTATTTATATGTAATATATGATATATAAACTTACAGAATAACTTGTTTCAGATTATCACAATTTAAATATCTTAAAATATCCTCTTCTGTAGATGTAATATTTGGACAGGCATATGTAAATAAATTACATAAAAACTGGATGCTGAGCCTAAGGATATCTAATTCATTATCAGTTAAGTGGTATATGGATTTTCCATGAATATTAATGTAATCTACAGTCCATTCTATGACTCCGTCATAAGGAAAATGAGATTTGTGCGGATAATCACAAGTCTTTCTTTGTTTGCATAAATCACTTTCAACTAATTTGTTATATAAATTCTTATTATATTTAACAGGCTCTACGTTTTCTATCGCATGTTGTTTGTGTTTGTAACTGTCAAGACAAGAGTTCCCCAAACACTTTAAGCATAAAATTGTAATCGTACCCGGAGTGATTTCACTTAAGAGTACTTGACACATTTGTGCTAAGATATTCGCATCGAGTATCGTCCTAAAAAATACAGAATAATTATCATGTATGATTATCTGTCAACTGACAACTTACAAACATTGTTGCATACATACTCTGATTCCTGTCTGACAAAATGCTTAGGTTTGACGTTTTGCAGTAACTGATCCCAGTCTTTTTCATTTATAATCGTTTTTAATTTTTGCGAATCAATGTGTGCCGTCATTTTTAATAAAATTGCCACTGTTTATTGCACAGACGAAGCTCTTCATATAAACACGTGTCAATTGATTAATCAACAGATCATGTGAATGGATAGTTGAATGTAGTTCTCGTTTTCTGAGCGCCTCCGTGCACTAAACGTGCACGTTCATGAACTATTTACCCATATTCCAGCAGATAACATCCAGCGATTTTCGATTTTGTTATTATTGTGTTATGTGTCATTTATGTATTATATATATTGTTCGATTCTATTTCGCGCTATAATGTTCACAGAATATAATTGCGTAATAAATGCATTATAAAAAGAATAAAAATTAGAATAATTTCTAAAAAAGATATTAAAAATATATAAATATAAAGCGGAATATATTTAATATATTCTGTGGACATAGAATTGACACGAAATAGAATCAAAGAATTTAACAAAATCGAAAACTATACCCGGGAAAAAATGAAGAAGATTTCATTATATATGTGTGGATCAAATTAGATCAAATAAGATCAAATTGTATCTGATGAGATTTAGTTTTTAGATATAATCAGATCTTCAGAAATCTAGCTTGGTCTCACATGATTGATGTTATATCCATTAAGATCTAAATAGATAATCTGCTATAATGAATATAAAGAAAGCATATTGTAGATCTACGAGAATATATTGATATATATGAATATTTAACTTTATACAATGAAACTAAATGTAATAAATATTAGATCTACAGAGATATAATAATATCAAAGAAGATATATATGTACAAGTGTAATCTGATAAAAATTGGCGTACACATCTAACAGAGATCTACAGAGATATAATAATATCAAAACAGATCTACAATCTTGGCCAAAGGTATAAGGCAGTAAGGCACAATTGCAATTTTGTCGCATTTTACGAAAAGTTAAATATCTTGACGAAAAAAAATCTTAGAGGTTTTCAACCACACATTTTAAAGTTTAAAAATATATTATATCTAATGAAATAAATGTTTATATATTAGGGTATAAATAGATAAAAGTATATCTACATCGATCTACTTTGATCAGGTCAAAATGAAGATCTCTTAAGGGGATCCTAAACCGATTACCGAACTTGATCGAGGTCGATAGTGCAGACTTTTTTAATTCCAAATTCGATAATAGTGACATCTTTGATTCATTTCTTACATTATATTATATATCGTTCTATCTCACTTAAACGCATACATCCTTATCTAACATATGCCAGCACCATCTATCGCAAGATCGCGCAACTATTACTACACGGAATTTCGACTCTGTTGACAGTCCCAGTCTTCGCAAAGTACCCGTATATACGTATTTTCTATTCGATAGGATTACTTTCCTTCTAGACTTTCAATCTTGGTTCTATAAACTTGGTATCGTTCGTTACAATAATGTGACCTCAGACCTATGCTTATTTTCAAGATATAAACTATAAAACTCTTGTATGAAGCAAATATAGACCTGAGGTGTCAGCTGTACGAGCTAAAAGTAAGCGAATTTTTAAACTTTTCTTCGATTTTCTCCTAAAATCCGATACAGCTGAGGTCCTGTTTGTGCGTACTTTAATTCTGTAAAAACAATTTTTTGCAATCCGTCAATTCAATTCGGAGATATTTCACCGAATGGAAATGATGGTAAAGTAGAACAACTTTAGCATCCCCTTAAGATCTCTTTTTAGATCTAATGAGATCTACATACCTATATATAGTGAAATCTTCATTTTCCCGGATAATACGTTATCTGTCGGACACATTCGTAGCTACGTAGTTCAATGTGCACGTTTTGAGCACATAGAGGTCTCAGTAAACGAATTCCCTCCGTTCCATTTAAAACACTGAATAATTATGATACAAATTTCAATCGATAGGAATAAATGTAATTAAACAAGAGAAATCCTATACACATCTGAGTCTGCAAACTGCACGCCGAAATCTTTTTAGATTTTAAAACGTAATCATAAGCAAAACCGTGTAATATCACTTATTAAATTGACGAGCAATTTAATAATTTTTGATAACAAGCATAAGAATATTAATAATCTAGATGTTAACGAGAATTATAAATCTGTGAAAGAGAGAGATTTTCATTGGACACGTCCGCTGAGTCTACTTTCAGGTTTCACTGTCAGATTTTTTTCTGGATCTGGAGGTAGTGGAGATACCGTGTAACGTTACGCTACTGCTGCTCCAGTGTAATTATTCGTTACACTCTTCATCACTCTCCGTGACTAGCGTTTGTGACAAGTCGGCGTTTTGTACTTTTGCGCTTGCTTTTATTAAAGACAAAACATTAAAGGTAAATTTATAACTTAATCCGAAAACAATTTACGTTAAATATCACATTTATCATCATACTTATGTTACAGTCACAGAATACTCGGTTTCGTTTTGCCATGTCATTCTTTGTTAACTGACCTATTCAGTTTGTTATTCTGTTAATTTAAGCTTTTATCCATTTTTATTGATACTCGAATGTTCTGTCGTGCATTATAATTACATGTAATAATAGATGTTTTTATTTTGTAACTTCATTGAATTTATTTGTGTCATCTTTAGTCGCGCTTAACCTCAAATTTGATTTCTAGAGTGTTGTAGGACGTTTAATGTTTGATCTGTAATCTTAATTTTACAGTACTTTCTTGACAATTTGAAATTAAACAGACAACTGAAATATAAAATAAAGCATTACTTTATATACGTACATAACCTGTGGTTGAATCTCGTTATTCACTGCAAGTACTGAAAATCTACAGTTTACGTTGTGTATACCTTTTCAGTATTCGCAATGAATAACGAAACATAGTCCACGTCTGTAACTTGTGCATCTTCTATCTATTTCAAGATGTTTCTAACACGTTCTGAATACGATCGTGGAGTAAACACTTTCTCGCCAGAGGGAAGATTATTTCAAGTCGAATATGCCATAGAAGCCATAAAGCTTGGCTCTACTGCCATTGGAATCGCAACAACGGAAGGAGTCGTTCTGGCAGTGGAAAAACGTATTACTTCAACTTTAATGGAACCGACAACTGTAGAAAAAATTGTAGAAATCGATAAACATATAGGATGTGCAGCATCTGGTTTGATGGCCGATTCACGGACAATGATCGATAGAGCTCGAGTCGAATGCCAGAATCATTGGTTTGTCTATAACGAAAGAATGACAGTGGAGTCGACTGCTCAAGCTGTGTCTAATTTAGCTATACAGTTTGGAGACAGCGATGATGATGGCACTGCCATGTCTAGACCATTTGGTGTAGCAATGTTATTTGCGGGGATCGATGAAAAAGGTCCACAACTGTATCACATGGATCCATCTGGTACGTTTGTTCAATTTGATGCAAAAGCCATAGGATCTGGTAGTGAAGGAGCTCAACAAAATCTTCAAGAAGTATATCATAAGGTAATTTGCGTTATTGTTGAATTGAACAATTGTTGACATTGTGTATTAAATGAATATTGTTGTTACAGTCCATGACACTCAAGGAAGCATTGAAATCTGCGCTGACAATATTGAAGCAAGTAATGGAAGAAAAACTGAACGATACCAATATTGAAGTGATGACAATGACGCCCGGGCAATTGTTTCACATGTTTTGCAAGGCAGAATTACAAGAGGTGATTAAAGATATTGCTTAAAAAGCTATATGGGTACACACGTACGAGTTAAACAAACGGTTTCACCAGATCATGGAGAAATAAACATATTTCTTAATGGAATAGCGTGTAATGCAAATGTAAATTATATCTCTACTTTACACACGGAGCAAATACTTTACGTCTGTATATTTAATATTTTCATTTATCGTCCTTAAAGAGAAAATATTACGGAAAAAGAAAATATCAAGTGGATTTATATTGCCTTTCGTGTTGCATTCCTCTAATCTGCTTCCTTCAATTATTTTTATACTGAAACTTTAATTTTTCTTAAAATTTCTATATAAAAGCAGTTTAATGGAAATATATATGTGTGTGTGTACATCGCATATATAAATCAATGCAGAATCGACATTTCTATTAAGGAAATATCGATTCTGTATTGAGAAAAAAATCTGTTGCAGATAAAAGTTAAAAAAATAAAATAAAAAATGCGTAAGTGATAGGACAACTTATATTTCAAATACACATATCTATACATAAAATAAAATTTAAATAATTTACCCCAATTTATTTCATTTAGCTAATAGACTTCAACACCACATCGGATGAGACTGTCATAAGACCAACAGCCGATAATTTCTTGCCAAACCCTTCCCAGCCCTCTACTTCCCTCAAAGGGTAAACAGTCATTTTAGATGCCTCTCTCCAGGTACTCCTGCTTTCCAATCCTATATGTATTTTTATACATTGTTTCATTTTCCTATATAGTTATTTTGTCAATATGAATATTGATAGTATTTGGGTAAATATAAAATAAACTTTAATTTACGAATTCATATAGAATAATATATTAACAAAATAATATATAATTTAATACACACACACATATATGTATGATATATATATATATGTATGATATACACAGTTGCATTATGATTGAATTATTTAATTTATTATTTAAATTTAAAATATCTTTTATATTATTATAAAATTTAGTGATAATTTATTAATTTTTTTATATCGTTACGTAATAATTCTAACGAAATATTTCGTTTTCATCTGATATACGTCAAGTACCTCGAAAATTATCGTAAAAAGAATTGAAACGAATAACCGCAAATAGTCGAAGGTTTTTTGTTACAAGCGGCAGTAATAGTGTGACACAAACGGGCATTTCCAGATCGATTCGTTGTTAAATTCGTAGCGGTCGGAAATGGGTGTGCGACGGATGGCTCGTTTTCGATTAAAAGCTGCCCGCCGCGACTGAATGCGCGTATCCGAAATCAATAATTAATTTTGCCAGCTAGCCGAGAACGGGGCGAAATGGCTCCGAGAGCTTGGCGGAAATGGTCGGATACCGCTTGGTTGGATGCTGTGATGCTCCGATAAAACGTCCCTTTTTATCCCGTTCTCTCGGCTGCCAGATTATTGGATATTATTCCATTTCAAGCGTTCAATCCCGCTACGATTCGCTCGCTTGGATTCCCACGGGGGTTTCCCTGTCGCCTATTGATTGCACGTAACTCTTAAAATGTCTATACGTGTGACACCGCTGAAATGTGTATGAATCTACATTTTTGTCCCGCCGTGCCTGACACACCCTGTATCCTGCATGAATCGAATCCATTAACCGTATATGAAAAAAGCCACTCAGATATCCGTACAGTATTTTTTATCGCGTTAAAAAACGCGTTTCGCATGAGATGCGTATTTCCCGAGTGCGCTTAATGCAGGGAAAGTAATAATAATTGAATAGAAACTTTTATTATAATCATTCGAGAACGATTGTAGCAATACAACCACAAGCTGATACAAGATAAATAAATTATTTTAAAGATAATATATATTCACAATGATATGCAAAATAATTATTTAAATATATATTAAAAATAATTTCTTTAATATTCGTATTTACAAGAAAAGAAAGGATGGCAATTAGTTTTCTACCGCATAATGTGGTTTAATAATTGACTGTGTGTTTCGCGAAAATTACTTTCGCCGGAAAAAAGATTTCAGAACAGTAGGAAACGGTATGGTCGTGGATTATTGAGGGTGGATCGCTCGGCGGAAGCGATATGGGTTCGAGGAGGACTAAGGGACTAAGGTAAACGGAGTGAGAAAGAGAGACCGACTCGAGTACGGCGAGCACGGCCGAGGACTGGTAATTAACTGTGATGAGAGAGAGGCGGTGGGATAGTCCCGTTTGAGTTCCTGAGAATCCCCGGGGACCTGACCCGTCGTATCAGACGCCAAACACTCACTCCCACACATCGAAGCCGAAAACCCGTCGTCCTCGGGGCGCGCGTTGCTACGTTCAAGTTTCGCTACGATAATTGCCTTCGCTTCACAGTCGCGCCACCGACACCCGCCACAGCGACGGATAAGAGAGCCCGCCCCTATTTTCCTTCCTTCGCGAATAAACCTGGAACGGGGTTGGAACATTGGAAAGTGGAAGTAGATAATGGTGTGCAGAAATTTAGTTTACGCGATTGAGTTCCCTTGTGTCACGGGAAAGCCGTAAAGCGGTGTCTACAATGAGATTTTATAAAGGCGTAACTTAAGTCTCAAGCCGTAGGAAATTGATTAATCACAGTCGAATGTGAGGAGAATAGGTAATCGACTATGATTAGCTTCTTAATCGACTATGATTAATTTTTTACGACTTAAAGTTTAAAGTTTAAGTTTTATGCTTTAATATCTCATTGTAGACGTCGCTTATATATATATATATAAAGTATATATCATCTTTCTAAAGACGATCAAAGTAAAAAATATGCAGCGAATTAAATGCAAGATATAATTATCAATTATGACAAGTGTAAATTATGTTAAAATTAAATAAGTAGTTTTTTGTATCAATACACCTATTAAGAAACGTAAAAAATTATTCAGGAAGCTATATTTATCAGGTGAAATTTTCCTTTGAAACAATCCTTTTGGATATATTACAATTGGTGATAAGTTCTCCCATTAAAACAATTACGAAATCGTGATTATGCATATCAGTCCGGAAACAAAAAGCGTTATGTATCGTTCCGCGAGATGAACGAAGTACGAAACGCAAGGCAGCTGCGATGCAGCAGGAAACTTTCTTCTTTATTATTACCAAAGAGCCTCGATAGAAAACCGGAAGTGCGCGCGGCATCTCAGCATAGGTAAGATACCCGTACAACACGGAGCTATAATTCACGCATCGCAGAATCGTCGCCATTTTTTTTTCACTTTCACAGAGAGCCGGTCGTTCGCCCAACGTGAACGCCGCGGTCTCTCCTCACGTTGCATCGCGGTAGCACTACACGTACGTCGTCTGTGCTCACACAATTACGGTATAACGCTACGGTCGCGAGTACGGCGATCGTTTCATAGACCACTAACTAATCTTGTCGTTAGTTCGTTACGTGTTCTAATAATATGCTACCTAAGTACATCCGATATTATAAATTGCGCTTAACGAGATGAAAGGGAGTGGAGAGGGATTGATTTTACAGCGATCTTCTAAGTATTGCGTCATTATCGATTTCTCCCATGTTCGATAATACCCAAGAAGTTTCCCGTAATTTTTTGCCAACGTATAAACAGATACGGAACCCAGATTTTATTAATGGCTAAACGAGCGTTCGAAAGAAGAGGTGAAACGTTCGTCGGATTTTTAGATATGGCATACAACGAATATCTTAATCTTTATTCGTATTTAATTGCGTGCTACGAATTTTAATTACGCCGCCGCCGCAGCGACTGATAATATCGATAGGAAACCCGAGTAAAGCCGGCTGTCTGTCCTGTGTAACGAAACAGGAAATTCGTTCGTTAATATGGCCGACCCAATTTCACCAGAAATATTTTATCTTTCCTCTACAAGCGAATATCCAATATCAACTTAAATAAATTAATTTTTATAAATTTGTGAATATTAATGAAATTAACGCTAACAGAATGTGTTTAATATCGGACGCTCGAAGCTCACGTAAATTATGCTGACGTTTCTTGCGTTTGTATACTTAAAAGTGGTAAAATAGCCTATCAAATTTCAATCGGGAAAGATCGACTTGGTGAAAGGAGTGGCGAGATAGCATTCGGATGTCGTAGACACGCTTTGGAATATTACGTTTTACGTGTGTATATACGCGGCAGGCTCGATAGCCCCGACGGAGAAAGTAATGCTTTCTTGAACGCAAACACGCATGTATCTAGTGCTCTTAATTGCGGCCCAGGATCGCTCGGGAATCGAAAGTGTTTGCGGAAGTTCGCGCAGCTTCTGTCTCGAGACTCGGACACGCACCCCTTCCTTTCTGCCTTTTTACCTGTGATTTTTGCATTTTCGCGCTCGAGGACTTAATGATCTCTCGACAGGCTAACATCAATAATATCGCGGCTTTTACCTGCTCGCTGGACCGGAAGGCAAACGCGGAAAGCGTCGCTATAATTTACGAGCGAGTGTTGACTCGTATTTTTTGGACTTTGTAGTCGGTGAATCTTTTTTTTTTATTTTTTTTCTATTTTATGTCAATTGCTTGGATAATACGATACGCAAGGAACGCGCGTTTCTTCGCCGACGAGAACAATGAATTTAAAAGAGTGAAACTCTCGCTCAACAGTCGACTAAATTTTCTCGAGAAAGTGAATCTTGACGTTGATTTATGCTCTCACTATATGCGCAACATGTTTGATATGGTTAGCATGAATCTGCGCGTCATACACCATAACGGACGATGTATTATTCCATCTCTCCGCGTTATCTTGCATTCCATCTTGTTACGTACGATAAGAAAAGTGATCTAAGTATTTTAGATCTGTTATTAAGATAAGGATCGAGAAAAGTGAGGTGTAATAGGCAGAATATTTATTAAATCTTTGATATAAAAAAAGATACGTATATTGTTTTTCACAATGAGTTTTTTTTTTTACTTAACTTACTTACGTTTCTAAGTATGGTAATAATACCTCACAGCAATACTATATACGTGAACATAACGGATTGCTGCGAATGTTGAGCCAATAATGTGCGCTGGAATCTGCACGTAATTGTGCACCTTTTTAGAGCATAGAAAAGTATACATTTATTTATGTTTCGGATATGTTAATTTATTAATATGCGCAGAGGATTCGTTTCGTTACCGCAGAGGACATAATCCATTGAATAATCGATTTCGCTTAACTTATTATCATAATACACAGTCTAAGAGTATTGCCGAATAACCGCTACGTTTACCTGGATTTCCGGAAATAT